GCGACCAAATTCGGAGGGCGGAATGGATTAACCGGATTTACATTGAACCCTATGGGGAAATTTCCTTCGGGTTACGTCCAACTCGGGATACGCCCAGAGTCACGGAACGGATTAAGTTCGTATCCCGAGGTACCACTGTAATTTTGCCACTACAGAGATGCTTTAGAACTATCATTCCACAGTTATATGAGTATAACAATTGAAGGAACCGTAAGATGGAAATGAAGAACACACTTTACAGTAATAAATTCTAAGATTCAATCCCTGTAAACTCCATATTGTATGTTAAACATACTATCCAGGGATCTGAAGATGAATAAAGAGTACCTTTTATTCTTATTACATGCCTATACACCAGAACTATAATACCATAGTTTCAGAAAAATGTAAAGATATGTGTGTAAAGGAGAGGAACTGAGTTTTTAAGGAAAAATAACTGCAACATGAAATTAAGCATCTGCCTGCCAGCTAAGCATGAAATTGAAATTCTGTACCCATTTACTCAAGAATAAGTTCCATAGAACTCAGTGTGAATAGGACTGTGTTCATCTGAAAAAAGCAGCAATCAATGTCTGCCCAAGCAGAAAAATTCTGTTCTCAGATATTTTGGAAGACAAAGTTTTCCTTGCTATATAATTTGTTTGTCTACTTGAAGGAGAGGCAGTGGTGCAGTCCCTCCTGAACATGCCTTTTCTGCTTTCAGCTATATTAATCAACTACCATTCTGTCTTTAGTCTCCCCTTTTTAGGGATGTGATATAAAGGCATGGGACAAAAAAGACATTGGTCACTGATCAATAATATTCATCTGGATCTGGATGAAGTTTTTGTGTCCTACCTGACTTCTCAGTAGCAGTCAATACTATTGATCTTTTTAGACTGCCTACCAAGGTTAAGCGTAAGGGATCCTGTTCTACAATGGTTCTTCTCTTTCCTAAGTGGTTGGAACAGAGTTGGAAGAATAGCAAATCTTGAATAAATCATCATGGTTATATTAAGATGCCTTACATTCTGGTAAGGGAGAAACATAAAGCTGATGTGGATTAGATTCAGTCAAGATGGACATGTGATTTTTTATGTTTGCTTTATCTTGTTTGGGAGGTGGAAGGACTGCTGAAATCTCAAATTTGAAGTTGAAAGCCTACAGCAATCTTTGCCAATTTAGCACCTTCAAATATGCTAGGATTCTAATTTTCATCTTGACTGGGAATTCTGGGAGCTCTTGTCTCATTTGGAGAATGTTTGGTTAGAGAAGACTGGAATATAGAAACTAGAATGTCTATTAACTGCTTAATATTCATGTTAACTGTGCCTCACTGAGACGACGACGATGATGTAATGCTACATTAAGGACCATGGGTACCAGCCTTGTTGAATGTTACATATAGCTTAAGTAACTTACAAGTGAAATTGTAACAGTCTTTGCTTTCTTTAATGGCTCAACTACTTTGTGTGGTAGGGAAGCTTGTTCTTCTTTCTCATCTTCAGGACTTGGTGAATCAAAAAAGTCAGGACTAGAAAGTGAAGACTGTGGAAACAAAAGAATATGTTCTTTCATTTTCAAGTATTCAAAACATGCACCACAAATAATTTCCCCTCAGCTGCATGCTTACTAACACTGACAGTGGCAAGATACTGATGTGGGCCTTCCAACTATGAACAGCTCCCATCAGCTGACTATCAAAGTACTGAAAGTAAATCCCATCCAGTAGTCACAACGTCTCCTGCCCATCACCCAAAAGATGTGTACATTCGATCTTAAAAGCTCTGCTTTAAGTGCAGTATATGTTTGAATACTATATCATATGGACTTGTATTGCCAATATGAAAATAGGTACTGCTTTATTGATTTCTGGGCACTGACCACCTGTATAGATCAAGTGCTATTTATCATACTTGGATTCCCAAAAGAAGGAACATATGATGTGAAGCACAGAAGCTGTTCACATAATTCTCTCAGATCTGTCTTGGATGAGGCACTGAGCAGGTTGTGTATGAGCACAAGTAATGAACTCATAGCCCATCCCATCTCGTGGCCCTCCTTTGCAACTACATAAAATGAATTCTTGCCCAAGACAGCGAGACCCACCAACCAGACAAAGGTGCATATACCGTGGCAGGTATGTAACACTGCCTGCAAGTCTTTTTCTATTTATGTTTGTCATGTGTGATTACCATTATCTTTTAAATTAGCAAAAATTAGTGACAAAATGGCAAGTCCCTTTTCACCCAGGCCTTTCCTGTACACATGCTGTATCTATGGTTTCACCGTTACTTTTCTTTAAACTGCATGTTGTTTTATATTAGCTTATGCTGTTTTAAAAGAATTTCCCCCAACATTTTGTACTCTATAAACTGCTTCAAGAGAGATATGGGAAATAGTATACAAATATATCCAATTAATTAATTAATTAAAATAAGAGAAAAAAGTAGAAGACATAAATAGGATTTTGAATAGTAGGAAAAAATATAGGGGAAAAAAAGAATATTTAAGTACACTGAAGCAAAATAAGGAGATAAAATGTTTTAAATACTCTATGTAAGGCACCTGTGTGAAATACTCTATGTAAGGTATCTGTGTGAAAGAAAATTTCAACTGAATATACTATGCTTTAGTTGAAAAATTTAGAATGCCACCTATACACATCAAGAAGTATATCTCACTGAGAATTGCTTCAAGGCAGCATGTGTAATTTAAAATTGCTTAGGTAAAATAAGAAGCCATGTAATTACACCTAAAGGATGCTAACTCTCACATATCTTAGTAAGTGACCTTCTCCAGAATATCTTTCTATAAGTGGTACTATTTTATTTAAGTGAAGCTGCTAACTGGCTATTTATGCCCAAACTACAGAGCTTTGGGTAGGCAACCTGTAGCTCTCAGAACTCCTTAGGACCATGACTGTTGAAAATTGACAGCATGATTTCCTGGCATTTTTGAGGTGGATAACTGATGAAAATTGGTGTAATCCCTAAAGATGCCTACAGGTAGTCCTCAGATTACATCCATTTGTTCAGTGACTGTTTGAACTTGCGATGGAGTTGAATGATGGGGACTTATGACCAGTCCTCAGAATTCTGGCTGATGCAGCATCCCAGCGGTCATGTGATTGCACTCTGGGCCCTTGGTGCCTGGCTCATGATTACAATATCACTACAAGCCATGGTCATGTGATGGTGATTTCCAACATTCCCTGCTGGCTTCCCACAAACAAAGTCAACAGGGAAGCTGGCAGGAAGTTGGAAGCTGCAGTCACATGAAGTACTTGCTTAATGACCCGCATGGTCCTTGCTTAATGACACCAAGCAGGAATGCTCGAACTGCTGTCACTAAGTGGTGCAGTCATGTGACGTCACACTTTACAACTGCATGATTTAGCAACAGCAATTCTGGTCCCAATTGCCCTTGTAAACTGAGGACTACCTGTATTATGAATGAAAAATGAAAAACTCCACAAAGGAAATTAAAATATGCTGATATTACTTACAGATGTGAAGGACTGTGATGGAGGTCTTCTGCCAGTAGCTTTTGGTCTTGTAGTAGTTGGGTGGCTGAGCTTCTCTGCTACTGGTACTATGGAATCAAACCCTTCCAAATCTTAAAAACATAGAAGACAGGCAAACATATTAATATTATGAAGTCACTCAATGAGATTTTTAAAACTTAATTTCCATATTACATTAGTTTGATATTGTCAAATTGAGACTTCTTTTTGGGGGCACGTGGAAGCATTTACTTACTTTAAAGAAAATATTTCTGTTTGGCCTTTAGTTTAAAAAATTCAGCTACACATAATACATTTGAAAAAATAAGATAATAAAGTAGTTGAAAACTAATTTAAACAGTTTATTTGATGTGTTAAAAATTATTAAACAAGATTTGCTCTAAATTTAGAATAGATGAAATATGATATACCTCCAGTTTTATTCCTAATCAGACATTCAAAAATAATTGTTATAATGAAACACATGTAAGTTTTATATCTAGCACCAGAGTAAGATAATTTTTAAATTTAATAGCATTTTCAGAAGCAATAATGAGAAGTAGTTGAGAATTTTAAGCACCTGAAAAATATAGTGAATAGAATTCACATTTTAACTTTAAAATTGCTATTTTTTTCCCCATTAACTCTTTCCACCTACTCTCACATAATGGAGAGACTAAAATCTCAATAATAGCGTTGCTTTTGAAAATGGTGTGGCTGAAGTGTGAGATACAATTGCTTCCTCTCTTTCCAAAGAAAATGCTCATTCTTTCCTTAGATCTAGGGTGAAATGTTACCGATACTGCCACTGAATATTTGGTCCTGCACAATAATGAAGTTACAAGCTGATTCTTGCAAAGCTAAGATGATGTATAAGACATTGAAACACTCTCTAATTAGAATTGTCTTGCTGATGAGCCTGATGTAAATTTATTATCTGATGTTAAATTTATTTCCTTCAAAAAACTAAGATACGCATTTTGTTTTGGTACTGTCACACTTAATTTGCCAGCTGAGAAGAATGGGGTACAAAGTAACACATAAAGATAGCCTGTTTCATACTAGCTTACTCAGGATCTCTTGCGTTTCCTTTCAGACTCAATATAGTTTTATTTATTTATTTGTTTGTTTGTTTGATTTATAAGGCTGCCCAACTCAAACAGTGTGACTTTGGGTGGTGTACAGCATAAAAACATACAATAAATAAATATAAAATATAAAATGGTGATCAAGCATGTAACAAAACAAGCACAGGGCAACTCCCACTCAACTGGTCCCTAATGCCTGGGGGAGGAGCCAGTTCTTAAGGGCTTTCTAAAGGCAACAAGACTTGGGGACTGTTGTATATCAGGGGGGAGATTATTCCAGAGAACAGGGACAACCACAGAAAAGGCACACATCCTAGGTCCTATAAGATGACAAGATTTAAAAGAAGGAACCTGGAGCATGTGAAGTGTGTAAGGCAGACAGATGTTCTTGGGAGAAGGTAACCTGGTCCAATGCCATGTAGGGCTTTAAAGGTAACCATTAGCACCTTGAATCATACCAGGAAGTTGATTGGAAGCTAGTGCAGCGCAGAGTGGCATGGGTATAACAAGATGCATGTATAATGTTGCTGTATTCTGGACCAATTGAAGTTTCTGGATGGTTTTCAAGGGCGGACCCATGTAGAGTGCATTACCATAGTCCAACTGGGTGGTGACTAAGGCATGAGTAACCATGAGCAGGGCCTCCCGGTCCAGGAACGAGCACAAGTGGTGCACAAAACACAGTTGTGCAAAGATCCTCTGGCCACAGCTGCCACTTGTTCTTCAAGCAGGAGCTGTGAGTCCAGGAGAACCCCCAGATTGCGCACCAAGTCTGAATGGGGTAGTGGCACCCCATCCAGAACCAAAGATGGAAACTCTGAAACTCCTGGATCTGGGGGACCCAAAACCCATAGCCACTCAGAAGAGTTGAGCTCCAGCCTGTTCTTCCCCATCTAATAATCATGGGTTGGCTCAACCAATGCTTAAATGAAAGCTGCTCACACTATGAGGTATTCCCTATGCTGTTTTTCTACTTCATTCTCCTGAAAGGTCTTCTGAGGAAAGGACTTTGAGGAATGACTTGGAAACCTCACCAAGTCTATTCATGTTCTAGAACATATTTGTTCACCACTTTTGTTAATATCTTTTTTCCAAAGAGAACACAATCAAATGAGGAATGGAGACATCAAATTATACCAACAAGGACACCATTCAGAATGTGTAAGCTGTAAGATGCACTTAAGGTTAAATGTTCTTAGCATGCTGTTGTTAAATGTGGAAAATAGAAAATAATTTGTAATTGCCCTTTTTCTCAACAGGATTGTACAACCTCTTTCAGACCTGACATCATTTGCACTTCTTAACCCAATAATAAATACAACACTAATGTAATAATGACAAAAGATAGCAACACAGCATGCTCTGCAGTAGCCTCCATAAGGCCCTCCAGATGAGTTGATTAAAACTTCCAAAACATACTGAAAGCACCCAGTTAAGAAAAGCTGCTTCCTGTATGTACTACAGAGTTTGTATCTTTTAAAACGTGAAAATACTGATGAAAGAGATGAACATAATGATGGAACTGCCTCATTCAGAAAGCCTGGTCCCATTTCAAATGAAGTCCACATCATTTGTACTGCTTCAACTGGAACTTGTCTCTTTGTCCATTAGCCAGACATCTCCTGCTATATCCTCTCTATATCCCTATAAAAATGCTAACATATGACAATGAAGAAATATGATTAGAAATAGGGGAGAGCTTGTGAAACTCTTCCTGGCTATAAATTATGCTTTCTTTTTGATCCTACTGGGGATCATGAAGTTTCTACTTTTCTCCTTATTTAATATCTGTTTGGTGACAGGAAACTTGTAAATTTTCCAACTGAAGTAGTCCTCCATTGTCTAATGAGCTCTAAAATATTTGTGTGTGTGTGCACAAAGGACGTGAATTTGAACTACTATTCTGTATACTATAATTAATACAAACAAAAACATATAAATATACAAATATAATATAAAAGTGTTTTAATACTCCCTCTCCTTCATCCCTGGGTACTGTTTTTCAGAATCATTCTGCTTTCGGAAATGGGACAGTTCAAAAGTTTCAAACTGAGTTTTTTCCCATACCAAAAGCCACTTTTCCTGATCAAGGAGGGGAGGGAGCTGACTTTTTACCTACCAAGTTTCCAAATTCACAAAGCTATCTCTTTTTCAGAAGAATGCTAAATGTATGCTTAGAAAACATTCTAAAAACAGCTAACAGCAAGTGGGGCAGGACTGTGAGGTGACATGCAAAAACTTCATCTCCCAGGCCCATCAATCTTTTTTTACCGGGTTACTTTTAAACACCAGTTTTGTGCTGTCCCAGAATAGCACTTTTTCAGAAAAGAGGGCTAAACCCATGTCACTTTCAATGCACAAGAACTAAACACATAAAAACAGAATTAGGACTGCAGTTTAGCCCTAGCCCCCTGTCAAAACTTGCCTCTTGGCCAAATCCAGCCCCAGCCCCCCTTAAGGAGAGTGATGGATGTGCGCTTTTCCTGACCGCTGGGGACATTTGGTGGGAAAGCAGACAAAGCTAGAGGAACTGACTGATCACTTTCTTTAACTTGACCTGCACTGAAATTGTAGGGACAGCACTATTCCCTCATCTTGTTCTTGAGGGCTCAGCCATTTATGCCAGCATATTTTTCGGCCACCTCAAGGTAGGAGAACTGCACATTAACAAAGCTATGAGAAAGAGCCCTAAAGCAAGTATGATTGCAAAGATATTCTTACATTTACTTCACTCAGGATGAACACACTATAGTCTGATGTAAGACATATAGGGTATTGTGCATTAATGTTTTGCCTTGAAATGTTTTTATATTTCAGTAATGTTTAAAATAACAATTTAGATACATATTTGTTTAAAAAGAGAAGAAGATTGTAGTCTATCCTTCTAAAGAGTAAAACAGAATTATAAAACCCCTGACCAGAATTAAAACTCTAAATAACTCCAAATAATGCAGCATTATTTAAAGATTTTTTTCTGCAAAAAGCCAACTAAGTAAATGAAAAAAAACAAAGGGAAAAAGAGGCAACATTTTCAGGAATTGGCAGAGATGAAAGTGCCTAATCTGACACTTCAAAGCTATCTTTGTCATGGCAAACCAAATACAACATTAAAACAGAAGGAGCATCTCCCCCGTCCCTTGAAAATACAGCAGTGAAAAAAAGATCAAGCTATTTCTTTAAAAAGCATATTGTGCTATTTTTTGAGATGTCATTTTCTATTACAATCTTCTTTTTCAAGTTAAAAACAACTACGCTGTTCTCAAACTGAAAGCACAGAAAAATAATAGGAATCAAAGGAAACTGAAACCAATTACAAGGTTTATCCTATAACTCGAAAGTCTTAATTTGTATTTTTCTGTGCAAAGAATTCCAGAAACAAGGATCCATTTGCAATGTTACAAAACACAGTCTAATCATTTCCACAAATGTTAATGTGTAAAGGTGAAAAATTACACTGCTGTGCTACCACAATTCTGAGCAGGGGCGCTGCCAATATACAAGGTGCCCTTGTGCAGAATTCTACCTAGCATGTGCACTCACCCCACCATTAATTTTTTTTTTTAACCTTGCAACTAGCATACCCCTCATTCAGTGCCCTTGTGCGGGGCACAATTTGTACACTGGGTTGCAACTTTTCCTTCTATAAAATAAATTCATTCTAATGCTTGGCATTTGTTTAATCCATGTAAAATTCATGCTCCTTCTTTGGAGATTAGGTCATATATTTAATGAAAGAACGACCTTTAAAATTGGCTCAATCTGCAAGGACATTCACAAACTAAATCGTTAGTAGGAAAGCTGATGTTATTCATATGGCTATAGTGTTTTTAAAGTTACGTTCCCTGGCAATAATCCATTGGACTAACAGGCAGATGGATTCTTATTTAAAAGGCTCCTACAAAAGCACAGAATCCTTGTAAGATCATTTTGCTACTTCTCAAAATATTGTCAATGCATGTCTATTAACCACTGCATTTGACTAAGTTGCAAACATTTTAGTTTATATTAGAAGATGGAATTAATGTTTTTATCAGCATAAAATTTGAGTTTTACTGTTGCTAAGAAACAATGTTATAATAAAGAAGTGCAATATTTTCAGAAGCATTGCACTGGCCAGTATGAAATGGCTCTGTTTACTAAACAATTATAACTACAACAAAGCAAACAAGAAGATGCCAAGAGAATGGAGCAGCAAATGCCATTCATTCTCTCTCTCGAAAAAAGACAGGACAGACAGAAGGTGAAAACAGCCTTACCATCATCAAGTGAAGAAGAATTACCCATGATAAGGGGATGTAAATGGGGAAAGCTTGAAGAAATATGAGTGGAAAGAAAAAGAAAGGCACCACTGGAAATGTAGAGAAAAAGAAAAGAAAAAAAAAGTGTGAGGAGAAAAGAAACAGATCCATACACATACTTAACAATAGGACTAACAGTGCTTTTTCTCCCAAGCTTTGTCGGTGTGAGTCATAGATAAAACACAGAAAAAAGTCCCTTTGATACAATACTCACATTAAAAACAAACAATACTCACAATCCATCCTAGACGCCTTTCCCTAATTCTGCTCTAATATAAATACCTGAAAGTCTTCATGCCAGTAAAATTACATTAAGTAAATGCATCCTCTGGGGAGCTACATTCATACGCATATGACAAGGTCGATATCCATGTGACATGTTAAATAAAATATTTCCATAATCCAATTAACCTCACATTTCTGGTTAGTAGTGCAATATTATTGCAATACTATATAATATACAGTGCAATACTATTCTCTATTTCCCTCCCTATGAAATGAGCTGGTATACGTAATGACCATTTTGTTGCTTCACCATTGCTGAATTCCTGCATAAAGTTGGACTTCAGACTGCAGCTGAAGGCTCTTGATATCACTGCCAAGTGACTTACAAGACAGTGGTGAGAACATTTCTCACCTCTCATATATTTCACCTTCATCCCCTTTGCCCTCAACCTGCCCTCAAATCCACTCTAACATTACCCATAAATAATTTAATCTATTTTTGTATTTCTTTCCCCCATTTTCAAATGATTGACAATTTTAAACATTTTCTCTAGCATGACAACAGACACATAATGCTTTCATTTTTGTTAGTACCTAATTCTATATCTCAAAAAATGGCTTTTATTTTCTTTTACTATTTCTAAATCTTACCAATACAAAAATACTTCAAGCAACTTCATGCAATAAAAAGCAATGTTAGTGTTTTAACTTTCTGTCACTATTATTCTCATTTACTGCTATGAACTTCATTTATGTTAACTAAATATTGCAACTGTAATTCTGATTCAGAGATGAGAAAACCATGATGCTGCATGTTAGCATTCTATGTTCTTCTCAATCTAAACTAATGTTCTCAAATCTGTTGGACTCCACCCACAGCCAATTTGTATAAGCTGCAAGTCATCTGGAGGACTGACATCAGTTCAAGGCTGGCTTATGGTTCATAACTGGCTTTTAAACATACCGAACTAGCATCTCATCCAATTTAAGAACTGTTCTATTACTGTCATTTAGTTATTAGGAAAAGTCAAACTTTACCTGTTAATATGAAACCTCTTCTTAGCTTATTTTAAAATTTTGTTGAATATGAAAGTATAATTATATAATACAAATTTTAAAAATGTATACTGATGGCATTTTTTTCATAAATTAGATATTACACATTTTTAAGAATAAATGAACCTAAAACTCTTACATAGGGTAGCAAAAAGCAGAATATTAAATACACATCAAAACACATAAACCTTTTTGTAATTTCATTTTATGAAATCATTCTTTTTAAAAAGGCATAGCTTATTATTTGAACAACTGTCTATTAAAACATATTATTAAAATTATGAAAAATGCTACTCCAAAATGAGAAAGATTAACTACTGGCCTATTTTAATTTTAACAATATGAGCTTCCTGAAGAAACTACATCATAAAAGTAACAGAGCACGCTACCAATGTTATGTAGTAATGCTTACAATTTAGGATACAAGATTCTTCTCTTACAAAACCATGTCTGCTGGAGCCCAGTTGTTACGGAACTGAGTGACTGAAGCAGATGATACTAGAATATTTCCATGTGAAAATGACACTTGGTTTGCTAACAGATATGTGATCACAGCAGAACTCTTCGCTTTCCAGCACAACTGAACTATCTTTACAACTTAGGACACTTCTTAAGGACAGCAAATTTGTGAAAAATGTAAAAATGTCCATTTGTTTTTAATTTTCTCAAGATAGGGAACATGCTTCAAATGCTTCAAAAAGGCATCTTAATTTTGAAGCTATTACAGAGTTCTACTACTTCTTTTGAAACAGCAACCATTTCAGATAAATTTTAAAAAGAACCCTCTAGTTTTAATAACTTAAATAACAAAATAGTATTTAGTCATGCAAAAGATCACAAACATTTAAAATATTATGTGCCAAATTATTTGTGTTTCATAGGTATACAATGTATACAATGATTTTACAATAAATACGCCTAGTGATTAAAATTCAGAAGTACTGTTTTTATTTAGCAACTTGGTCATATGTATAAAATGCATTTCTACTTACCAATCTCATTGCTTCTTTCTGTGGATTCTTTTTCTAAGGTGCTCGACAAAGAACAGCTCGCTAAATCTACTTTTGGAATATCATTCCTGCAGTTAGAAAAAAAGAAAGATGTTCATTTAAATTGCTTCGTTCACACTTTTTAGCATGCATCTTTTGAACTGGGGAAAAAGCAGCGTTCCTCTGTGCCCACCCCGGTGTCACAGCAAGCTGTCAGGGTCAGCCATCTCTCCTAAAGCAGCACACTGCTTGGATTAACCTTATCTCGTTTCTCTTTAACACCTGTCAAAAGGACCTATTTTAGACACACTAATATCCAAACGATGTCTTAGATATTAACTGTGCCTTGATATTGAAAATAACTTATCCATAATCTGAAAAATAATTTCAGCCTCTCTCAATCATCATTTCCAATCAGACACTTTTAGTGTCTGATTGGAATTGTGAGCCAGCTGCAACGGAATTTCATTTTATTGTGCCCTAGGTGTATAGCGTATAGTGGAATGACAATTCAGTTATTATTCTATTATGTGAAAGATAAAATATGCTACAAACTCAACTGTAAAATATATGAGGTGCCCAGCTGCAACAAAACTGTTAAGTGCTCCCTAGTTCTGTTGCTACCCATAGACCCTTTAGCATGATTTGTATTGGCGCTGAGGGTTTGAATTACTAATATCCTTCTACTGACTGTCTGAAATGGGTGTTTTCTGCATTGTATAAATGGGTAGAATCAAAAGGAACACATCGGCTTTCCTTTAGTCCCTAGTGTCTGGAGGATTCAACTCAGGAACAGCTAGGAATTCTGTTATATTTTTGATAAAGAAAAAGAACCATGGCATAAAATGTTATGAATTGTACCATCTATTCCCAGATTAGACAGAATGGATGGCTCTTTACTTCCAAAACATCAGCTCTTTAATAAAACATCCCCCGTGATGTTTATTGGAGATTCATATTTATTTCTGTGACTTTAATGACTATTGGTGTCATTCTTTCTTAAAATAGGTTTAGTCTCATTCTAGATTGTATGGTATGGAATTCTTACTTTTTCCTTCAAGTTAAAGATGCAAAATAGTCCAGTGCATCTTTTTCACTGGTAGATATAATATTTATTCTGAGAACGTGTCTTCTTTTTCAATGCACTCATTCATAGAATCATAGAATGTAATGTTTGGAAGGGATGTTGGAGATCATGTAGGCCAACCCACTGTCTCATCAGGAATCTAATGATACAGCATTCCTGACAGATGGCCATCCAGCCTCAGTTTAAACTCCGCCAGCACAGAGTCACCCCCTCTTGTAATGCAGATTGTTCCATTGTTGAACAGCCCTTACCATTAGACTTTCTTTTCCATGATTCCAACCAAAATAATTTAAACCCATTGCACCTTGTCTGGAATAACTCTGAACAATTCTGACGTGTCTTCTAGATGACAGCCCTTCAGATACTTGAAGACAGCTGTCATGTCTCCATATAGTCCTTCTCTTCACTAAGCTAAACATATTCAGCGCTTCTTAGTAATTTTTTCCTTGCAGGCCCCTTATCAGCTTGGCTGCTCTTCTCTGGACATTCCTAAAATGTGGTGGCTAGAATTAGAGTCAATAGTCTAGATTTGGTCTGACCAATGTAAAATAAAGAACAATGACTTCATTTTTGATTCAGACCCTCTAAGACTACCTTGTTAACTGTGCCTTCCAACAAGTATTACAAATGACATCCCAGGGAATCTAATTTTTTTCATATTTAAAAGAAGGAGGGTCTATTCCTCCACACTTACACAGTACTCACAAGAACAAGAACGGTTTTTGTCTATGATAACTGACAAAACCAAACCATAACCATAACCAAATCCTGACAATGACAATTATTTCAGGTCTGACACTTTCCTTTTTGATAATACAAAACAGCTAACTTAACACTGACTTTATTTTTAAATGATACCAATATTGCCAAGTAATAACAGACATGCCTAATTTTCATGGAGGCAGACAGAGCCTATTGGTTCAATAAGTAATTTCAGAAACCCTCTGGCAAACAGTGGATATAGTGATCATTATGTCATCATCTCTATCAAACAGACCAAACTAATCAGAAGTTGCTTAGGAAACAGGCTCATATCCCATAACCAATCAGATTTGGTTATGTCAACATGTGACTTTAGTTTATATCCTGAAAGATTTTCAGCAATATGGAGAAATAGGTTTCTTTCACATAAACACTCCTATACTTGACTTTATAACTAAAATTATTCTCCGCTATTAAACAAATATGTCACTACAAAAGCTAAGCCACAGTCTTCTTATTTGGCAATCGAAGACAATTATCATTATAAAATAAATCAAAATTATTTATTCATGTTTTCAGGTGGCAAAGTGCTATGATTGGGCTGACCATCTTTTTAATAAGGATTGTTAAAGATATTTATATAAATCATAAAATTATTTTATCTTTATTTTTTGTTGCTTTTCCCAAGGGCAGGAATCTTGTAAGACCGCCAAAGGAACTAAGGATGCAATTCTATACTCCTTTATCAAAGAAAGTTTAACTGGAAACAATAAGTAATACATATAACTCTATATTAGATTACAGTTTAACACTTTCTTATTGCATTACATACTTAATGTATTTAATACAGTATGCAATATATCCTTGGTAGAGTAGCCATGAAGGCTTTGGAAAGGATATTCAAATGCTGTAGCTAGAAATATTAGACTCATGTCAACAATGGTTTTCCCTGTAACACCATGGATGAGAAAAATTGGACTTTGAAGAAGCAGGACAGAAACAGTACTGATGCTTTTGAACTTTCGTGCTGGAGAAGTCTCCTGAGAATACTACTGATAGCCAAAAAAACAAACAAATGGCTCACAAAACAAATCAATCCAGAGTTTTCACAAGAGCTACAATAACCAATAAAAGCAAAACCAATAAACCTGCAACTTGTTTACTGTGACAGTAAGTATACATATGCTATAATTGTGTTAAGATAATTTTCTCAACTCCAACCAATTTGCATTTTTTATTTCATTTATAGCTTAATGACCAAGCTCAAACTACCAAAGTTTGGATATATTTTGTGAAGACTCGGCACCCTTGAGAAGACCATAATGCTAGGAAAAATGGAAGGAAAGAAAAGGAAGACTGTGAGGGTTCTTTACTTTCCAAGCACTGGACACACCACAGCATAGCAAATCTGTACAAAATGCTTTGCACACACCTTCCCCAACAACAGACTATTGCTCTCCACCCATCTAGGACTTGCAAGGTGTTGTTGCCATGTAAATGTCTTTAATACTCAGTCCTTTAATATTTAGTTCAAGCAAAAGTCTGTAAGCCTGTAAAGTGGCATACAACCTTTGCCTCCTTCCAAACATTCTTACTCTAGTTGGGATGAGGTGCTGCTTCATTGTGGTTGTTCTTCTTCTAGTTGCTACTGAGCTCCCAACAAAGCTCCAAGCTCCAGGCTGGACTCCACCAGGATATGCTGCTCACCATACATGTGGTCCTGGCAGTTGAATGATAGTCCTCTTGCCTGCTTGTAACAGCTGCCAACCTCCAGATGTCAGTTCCCTGTCTGTATGCAGTTGGCTTTTCACCTTTCCTCCTACACACACCTCCCCACTCTGTCTTAGCATTTGCTTTTGTAAGCTAAGAGCCTGGGTGGGCTGCCTCTGGACCTCGGCCGTCCTTGAAAACGCCAGGGTGTGGCTCACTTATCACAGGCAGCTGGAACACCGGCTTGGATGCTTGTGAGTAAAGTTGTGAGCTAATGAATGAATGTATGAGGGAAATGGGGTGAGAAGTGTTTTTGCCTGGCTGCAGCTACTTTTCCCAACTTCACTCCCTCACAATGACTAAACAGCAAGGTGGATGAACTCAATAATGACAACAATGAATGCACTATAAAGAGACCTAAAATGCCAAGTCAGGGACAGATCATCCTGAATAAAATCTTATTTATATGGCCAATAATGAGTTGATTAGAGAGAGCCAGTTAAGTGTAATGGTTAAAGCATCAGGCTAGAAACCAGGAGACCGTGAGTTCTAGTCCTGGTTTAGGCATAAAGTCAGTCACTCACTCTCAGCCCTAGGAAGGAGGCAAGGGTAAACCACTTCTGAAAAACCTTGCCAAGAAATCTGCAGGGACTAGTCCAGGCAGTCACCAGGAGTCAACACTGACTTGAAAGCACAAAAAAAAAAAGGGGGGGGGTTGATACCAAGTTAACTACACATAATCATTATAGTTAAAAACAAGTGATTATGTCAAATACCTTGTTTGAATCAGAGGCACAACTGGTCTTTCTGGTCTTCTTGGTGGCAACGTACCAGGTCTGTTCAAAGAGTTTGTTTTTGGTGGTCGAGGTTTCTTGGGTGGTATAGCAGGAACAGAAGGCTTCTGTAAATCTAACACTTTTTGCTCTCTCTCTGGTCTTTCTTCAAATCAATTTTCCACCCAAAAGAATAAAGACATTTTTAAGAAGAATGATCATATACAATAGCTACAGTAACCAACAAAAGGAAAAAGAAAAAACTTCTATCAGTTTTACTGTGCCAGGAAATATATTATAGTTAGCTGCCCAGAGTCGTTGAGAGTTGGGCAGCATACAAGTTTAATAAATTATTATTATTAAGATAATTTTATTAACCGATTTGCATATCGCTTTAAAAAAACAGAATTTATTTTATGCATGCTAAAAAATTTTCAAAGTTGTTATTTTCAACAATAATAAATGTGAATCTTATTAACTTGCTATTGTTGACTAATTTAAGAATATTATTAATGCAAAGGAATTCTTAAAATTTAACTGAAATTTATAAATATTTTACATCCGTTTTTTTTATATTCTAAGATATTAGATAATTATTCACAGCTAATATTTGAACTAGAATTTAATGACTGAATGAATTTAATGATTTAATGGACCAGTTGGGGGGAAGGGGTGTTTGTTAAATCCAAATGCCTATTAAATTCAAATATAGGTAACTGACCTCATTTGCAATCTTAATTGATGTTTTATTCCATTTGCATAGTTAAGTAATAAATGTAATTATTTGCATAAATTGATCCAATGATAATCAATTACATAATAATGCAAATGATGTCAATTGTCCAGACTGCTTGAGAAGCAACAGCCTTTGCTTGCTTTTTGGGACAGAAGTACACTTTTTCTGGTTGCATCCAAGTTCTGTTGGATCAAAATCTGGAAAATCAAAAGTTTTATACTGGAATAGCCTTGGATGTTCTCAAGAAGGGTTATTTATATTTCATTTAACATTTGTGACTTTCTTAGAGAGAAATAACATCAGTTTTAATTACTGGAAGAGAAACTCACAGAACCATGCTTCATTGCTGATGCTTCTCCCACTATTTTACAAGGAATCTTACAAGTGGGAAATTTTGGTCACAACAGAACTGGTGGCATAGGTGTCATGGCCACAAGTTAATTTCTACATACTACAATATGGAATTCCATTATTCCTGTTCTAGAAATCATCTGTAACAAAATCTTTCTACCAACTTTTCTTTGAACAAAAAGTTAGCATAGACGAGATGTTAAAGCAACTTATCTCTCAGTTGAAAGATTAAAATACAGATATAAAGTAATTTTCAAACAGAAGTACAATTCTTACCTTTCTCTTCTGTTCGATGAGGAAGACATTCTGGTCTCTCAGGAGGTACCTTTTTAATTTCATGCTTTCTATCTGTAGTAGCTATCAAGAAGCACAAAGTTAACCATTTAAAAAGCAGACAGTAAAGATTATTTTTTCTGCTTCACTAATTTAGTAGTTCTTCACACAAAATGTGATAGACTCTTTCTCTATGGATCACACACATACACCTGTTTTTACTTATGAATATTTCAACTGAAAAGACAATTCATAAAAATAGGGTAACTAAAGTCAGATATATATCTTTCCAAGAAAACATTATATAGAACTTAAGTAAAGAAGACAATAGTATCTTCAAGGCTAATATACAAATTCTGATAAATTTGGGTCCACTGTGTCAGATACAATAAATCAAGTAGATTCCAGAACTTAAAATCAGAAGAAGTAATTTGCATTGCTATAAGTCATAATAGGAAAAGGAGATTTACTGCTTTGGTCTGCTTATATGACTTAATGATGATCCATCACAGTAATTCTTACTGGATGTCAGTCTCTGAGTGACATTTCAGCAATATTTCAGCATTGCCCAAGGTTTATTTTATCTTTACTGTAGCTGAAGCTAAGACAGCTATGATAACTGTGCTATATTTATTCCTCATGTTGCAAATTGACTAATTTACTTTACTTTAATTTACTTTAATTTAATTTAAGTCATCTGTCCTATAGCAGGAGCAAGAGAATGAAACTGGTAGAAGTTTTTGTAAATCCACAACTCAAAGATGAAGTGTAGCATCCTAAATTAATATTTCCCATGCTTACTAGGATATAGAAATGCCCTTCCAGCTGCCTCCTCAATTTCCAGGCAAATTTAGTGGATTTATTTTAATGCAGGAAATAAATAATATGCCTTTATTTGCATGCAGTTTGGCTGAACTTTTAACATTTACTCATAATCATAATTATGCATATATTCAAAATAGGGAGAATGCTGTATTTACAGCTATTCCTCTATTTGTTTTACAGTCCCTATAAACTCCAATACATGAAATATGTTTCAGGAGTTTATTTTGTATTTCTTCTCTTTTATTCTTTCGGCTATGACCTGAAGTCATATGATGAAGGATGCATGCTGAACTTTATTAACTTGAGTTCAGTGACAGAGGAGTTCAGTGATAGAGGAAAATGATAGAGGAGTTCAGTGATATAGGAAAAGCAGGTAAGAAATATTACAGATGAATGATTTAACAAGCAGAGAGAACTAAAAGAGAAGCATGGAGGGGATATTATAGATGAAGTTGCTATTTTGATAATTACAACTTGCTTGAACAAAAAGCAGTAAATATATTATGTGCACTCTTTTTTTTTTTTTTGAATTATGGAAACAGTGACCAGCTCACTTCATCATATATTTACCATTTCTAGTAACTGATAATTCTAAGTGAAAATCTTAGGATGCGAGCAAAGTATTTAAAAAGCAAATGACTTTAATTTTAATAGCAGCTTTAACAAACCAATAGCTATCATTAGTATGTTCCTTTAACTACAAGATGGCAAATGTATCACTGCCACAGAATAATTTAAACAGGCCTCTTATTAATTGCTCAATTGTAAGATTAAATTAAATAAATGGCAATGTATTAACAACATTATAAAAAAATCAATACTGGTGTGTGAACAATAATTTCCACCTTCCTTAATTTGGTTAAATGGAACAAAATTCAGTTTTGCACCTACCTATGCTCCTAATAAATGTGAAATTAGAATTTATTCTCAGGTTCTCATTGATGAGCATCTTCCAGAGCAGTTTAGTATACTTGCAATTTAACTATTTAAAATGGCATGGTATATATAGCTGAGAGCTTGTTAAGAGACACAAATGTTGTGAATTTAAAGGCATATTTATTGATGCTGTAAATTACCTGATCCTTGTTTGAAAGCAGGAGCTGAAGGAGGTGGAGGTTTTTTAGGTCTCTAAAGTAAAAGAAAATGAATAAATATAGGATTACTAATAAGGAAATACTAAATGAAGTAAAGGAAATACTTTTTTTCAATTTTGGATGTATCCAATGAGCCAATGTATTAATTATTAGTAAGAAAATATTAATATTCCCTTTTTTTATCTAAAAAGGCCAGATTATGGAAGCCTTTGCAGAATAAAGTCTCAAGAGTCGCCAGAAAGCTCAGTGAAAGATGGCAATTCACACCTGACAGGGAAATGACACTATAAAAACAGTGGATTTTAAATAAAAATTTTAAACTTAAACTTTTGATTGTATTATTTTAAAAATGCCAAAGTGTAAAATTTTATTTTATAAAACTTTGTATAATTGTTTGAAAACTTGATATTAATGATAAAATTAATACTAGGAAATAAGCATATTTTAAAAGAAGCAGAAAAATGAGTTATATTGAAAATAATCTGATCCCCAATAGCGCAGACATATTTTAATGTCCTGCTGAAAACTAATGTCTATAGAGATGGAGTTCAACAATCAATACAGAAAAAAATCTGTCACATGTTTTGACCAAACAGATGTCTACTAGTAATGGGAAATACAACAGTTCTTCAGGAGGAGATTACAACATATGAGAAGATTCATAATGGAGAAAATAATCTTTTAAATGTCATGATCCCCAAATCCTCTGTGATGAGATTATTCTTGAGTCAATTGCTTATTGAACAAGAGTGCTAACCTGTATTAGTTTGAATACTTTGAATACTGTGTATTGTATTTGTAAGTTATATTTTATATTGTACATATCTATCTGCACAATTAGAAAGACCAGATTATGAATATTGGCAAGGTAAAGTCACACTGAAAAGGCAACAACAACAACAACAACAACAACAAAAAGAAGGAAGGCCTTGTGTCATAGTTTGCCAAAACAATATCTTAGTTTTTAGAAATTTCAACTAAATTCATACTTCTTTAAACACAAGGAATATTGCCTGAAGTATAACATTCCTTTTCCTGAACTGTCAAATTTAGTGAACTACAGGAAAATATGTGTGTGTCTATATGTATTTGTAAGTGTGACAATATGCCTTGCAAATAAAACTTGTCATTGTTAATATTTTAACATGCTGAGTACTACAAGACACAAATTGTTCATAAGCCATATTTATTTTAAGTTTCTTATATCTGTATGAAGACTGATTTCATTATCATTGTAGCAAGCTTTATAAAATTTATGTGTACACATTAATATGGGAACTGCAAAGTGCATATAGTACATTTTTCATGTTCAATTCCCAGGATATCCAGATAGATCTGGAAAAGAGCTGTGCCTGCAATTTTGAAAAGTATTTGCCAACCAGAACCTATTTAAATGTAGTTCTACTGATAACATTACATCACAAGTGTGGGAAGCATAGTAATCAGCATGTCATCAGGCAAGATGATTCAAGTTTTCTATCTGCCACTTCAGTAATAATTCCACTTCAATAAAGATGTTTATTGTCGTTATTAATCACATTTTCCTCTAATATTAATTGGACCAATATAGCAACTTCTTAAGCATTCAGCAAGTTTCCAGCTATTCCTTCATATGCGACATTAAAGTAAAACCTGAACTTTCAGAATAAACTTGCTATCACTGGTTTTACTAGCTAAATGATTTTGAAAAAGTTGCATAACAGATACTGGCCTCCACAGTTATTGTCATTAACTGAGATTTTTTAAAAAATGAATTATTTATATGTGTTGTTATTATTTATATTATAAATAAATTATTTATAATTTATTATAAATATAAATTATTTATATTATAAATAATGGGTTCAAAATGAAAGGCAACATTTGTAAATTATGTAAAAGTTAATATGCTTTATAATAATAGGTAAGTTGCTCTCACCTCTTTTTCAAAATCAGGAAGTAATAGTTTTACAAAGTTATCAGGGAATACTCCTCTTCTACCATTAAGTTCACCTTCCCACCAGCCAGCATC